TCATTATTGCTAGTGTATTTTATGCATGGCCCTAGACAATTCTTCCAATGTAACCCAGAGAAGGCAAAAGATTGGTCACCCCAGTCTAGCATCTCCATTTCCTTAGGAAACCATCCGATTGTGGTAAAGTTGACAAGCACAGAAAATCTTACTCTGCCACACAACACCCCCATCCCCATGCTACAGGGGACGTCCTGTGGGGCCCTGACCCAGCAAATTACAAAACCAAGATGAGTGCTTCAGGGTAAGAATGGGAGCCATGCCAATACTACCAAAGTTATTCCCTCCTAAATAATGAAACCCTATCTGCCATGGTAGAGAAACAAGCAAAAAGAGAAACAGCTTACTCCTAGATATAGAGAAATGCAGAATTTATGTCCTGCTGAAAGGAAATAACTGCAGACTCATTACACGGAGCCAAATCCTCCTTAATTTTCATATATTCACTAAACTTCATAGCCTGAAAATCCTGTTCAACCTTGCCATTTTACAAATAATAAAACTTAAGTCTCAGAGAAAAGAAATTATCTCCACAAGGCATTTCACACAAACTTGGAAATAGATTCCAGGTGGCCTGATTGCCAGGGAAATGTTTGAGATTCATAAAAATGAGAGGATCTATGACTTTTTTCTTGTTTTTGGTAGTCAAATATAACATGTAGAGTCTTAAAGTGAAGAAAAATGCTCATCTTTAATTCAGTACCTTTAAAACTTCTTTCACTATAACATACTTTTTCCACCAAACAGCTCATCAATATAAGGAAAACTGGTCTTTGTGGAATATATTTTGGGGGTTCACTAATCTTCTCTACTAAATATATTTTTGTGTGTGTGGAATATATTTTGGGGGTTCACTAATCTATTCTATCAAATTGTTATTTATTTGGTAGAATAACAATTTCCATACCTATATTTACTAGAATCATATATGAATAGCACATTATAATTTCCAGGTAATTACAGTTACATTTTGATTGTCCCATCCACAGCTAAGAAAAGTGTCTATCACATAGTAGAACCAATAAATATTTGTAGAATTAGTAAATATAATCCTCACAACAGCTGCATGAGACTAGGTTAAGACTAGGTTAAGTTTCACTGTTATTTTTATTTACAGATGAGAATATTAAGGCTTGGAAATGTTAAATGACTTCCTAAAGGTCACAGAGCCAGAAACTATGGAATTTGTGCTTAACTACAACTCTCCTGGCTTTGAAATCCCATGTTATATAAGTGTAACTTTACATCTTCTGAACAGATTCTTCAAGGATATCTTAGCCTATTTTTAACACTAAACACACTAACACTAAAAACCATAGTAAAGTACTGGCAGGAGTCTTAAACTATAATCTGTTCCCAGCAATCAAGGTAATACTGTAAATGTTTTTTAAGACTAAGATACTTGAACAACCATGAGATGAACTTAAATTAGAAAAAATGAAAAAGTACTCAATTGTAAAAGGCTAGTATATTTAATTTACCATGACCGTTTGGTTAGAAATTAAGAGCAAGAAACCACAACAGACAATAGTAATGAGAAAATAGAATGAAATTATTGAAACAGTTAATAATGAAAATGATATACCACAAATATGATCTCTATGGAATAAACAATACCTTGTTAAGGTATGCAAAATGTAGTTCTGTGCTTTAATGTCTAAAAATGTACTCAGCTGGCCGGGCACGGTGGCTCAAGCCTGTAATCCCAGCACTTTGGGAGGCTGAGGTGGGTGGATCACCTGAGGTCAAGAGTTCGAGACCAGTCTGGCTAACATGGTGAAACTCCATCTCTACTAAATATACAAAAAATTAGCCGGGTGTGGTGGCGGGCACCTGTAATCCCAGCTACTTGGGAGGCTGGGGCAGAGAGTCACTTGAACCTGGGAGGCGGAGGTTGCAGTGAGCCAAGATCACGCTACTGCACTCCACCCTGGGTGACAAGAATGAGACCTCATCTCAAAAAAAATAAAAGTACTTAGCTTTGCCATGAGTTCTGTTGTAGAGTCAACATTAATTTAGCTTTGGTAGGTTACCTGTCACCCGCTAGTTTTTACTGCCAAAAAGAAATCTGGAAACCTTATTATCCTTGAATGGAATTCAGATTTTTGAAATGTAATTTATATAAAAGAAATATGCCTAACTTTATATAAAATAAAATTCGGACCATCTACTATTAGACTGCTACACTGCACACAAATACCAACCTAATTTTTAACACCAGCCACAAAAAACATCCACTTTATTTATATTTCGTCTGGATTCTAATTTTGAGAAAACATTAAGTCACATATTGTCCTACTTGCTTAGAAATAATTTTAGCTAGTGACCCTTTTTCACTAAGACAATATAAACACTGTAGAAACTATTTATACCACTTCCTAAAGTCTGCTCTCAATGACCTGTTTTTAATATAAAAAAAGATTAAGACCATATAGACAATCACTATTTGGCAACCATCATAGTAATAGTTAATTCAGCTAAGAAACATCAACAGATGCTGAAACTAGAGGGGAAAAGTTTGATGAAGTATAATATGTTCAGAGAGTCTCAGAGAACCTCTTTCAAATCAAAATATTTAACAACCATAAATACAAATTAAATGTATTTATTAATTTCAAAGGTAAAAAGAAAAACTTTTTAATAATGACAGAACTAGCAGAGGACAGAACTTTAATCAAGGATCAAGATATGAGATATTAACAACATGGGCCAAATCAAAAACGAGTTTCACTTGAGAGAATGCCAAAAGAACAGCCCAATCCTTTTGGGATACTCCTGCCAAAAACACACAACCTAAATCTCATCATGAAGAAACATGAGACAAAAACAAACTGAGGCATGTTCAATAAAATAACTGACCTATAGTCTTTGTAATTTATCAGATACGAAAGTCAAAAGGTTCAGGAACTGTTCCAGTATCAAAAAGAAACATGACAACCAAATTGAATCCACATAAAACTCTTTTGAATAAAGGCAAAACTTGGTTATATAGAAAAATGTCCTTATTTGTAAAGAAAAAAAAAGACCATGGAATATTTGGGAGTAAATCAGCACCATATTGACAACTTATTCTCAAATAAATCAAACGGAAAAAAAGATCCTTTGTACAATTCTTGTAAAACAAAATAAAAACAGATAAACTTCAAGCTACAAAACTAGTATTATATATTTCTATCACCTTTGTCATGAGTTTCATTTTCTTCTGGGTTTGAAAGATTTTTGAACTAATCACGCCCTTTCGGTACTTTTTGTTTTTCTGGATTTGTAGGTTCCAGTGGGGTTGGGAGATTCTAAGATTCATGAAAAATTTTAAGAGTGTCATTGAGATGAGGAACCCAGACACTAATGGAAGGAAGGAATAAAATATATTAAGAAAAACTGGAACCTACCATTGTAAGAAATATCCTGTAGATGCACTCATTAACAGATGTGCAGGGAATTTAAAGTAAGTGCTTTCCCAGAAGATGACTGTTGCCAGAAAGGAGTGGTAAAGTATTTCACAATATGTAGTTTCAAGAACTGTTATTTTTCCCAGAAAACAAACCAGCCTAAAATCCCATATGCCACAGACAAAACTTGTTTTTAATTTTACTGTTTCTTTCATTTCTATATTGTAATAAGTCAAAATATATCAACTTTTTTAAAGAATAGGTATGCATATTTTAAGCAAGCAATGAAATATTAGCAATAGCTACAAGGACACTCTTGAATATACTATCAATTTATAGAACAGTTCCTTTAATATGAGTTACCTAAACTCGCCAGGAAGGATTCTCTTGGGGTGAGGGTGGAGAATGCAGATTAATAAAGAAATATAAATTCTAAAACAAAAAGGTGGCCCTTATCATCTGTTTTTAATAAATATTCTAATAACTTCTTATAAGCTTTGTAAGTACTACTTATGCAGAAAACAGTTAACACAGCAGGCCTGTGACTACTATTCCTACAAAGATCTGCTTACAAGGTTGGCCCTTGGCTGATGTCTAGGAACTTGGCTTTCAAGAAAACTCTCATTATTCCCTGAGAAGGGTGATTCACTCCACCTAATTGGTTTGTACAAAGAATATAGTTTATGCTGAACCCCTGCCTTCTTTCTGGGAGTCTAGAATTTTGGTACTTGCTAAAGCAGACGATGCCTACATGACTGACCCCAATAAAAACCCTGGACTCCAAGGCTTAGGTGAACCTCTCTGGTAGATAATATCTCACATATGTGGTAACAACACCTTGCTGGTGGAATTAAGCATATCCTGTGTGACTCCATAAGGAAATAACTCTAAGAAGCTTGAGCCTGGTTTCCTCCAGACTTCATGTGTCTTTTCCCTTTGCAGATTCTGCTTTATGCCTTTTTGCTATAATAAATCACAGCAGTGAATATGACTATATGCTGAGTCCTGTGAGTCTTCCTAGTAAATCATTAAACCTGGGGTGATTCTGAGAACTCCTGACACAATATTTTAATATATAAAATTACCTTCTACAGAGTTCCAAGTATTTAAAGTACAAGTATTTAGAGTTCCAAGTATTTAAAATACAATGTTATTTATATATTAACAATCTGCAACTGATAGCTTTGAGATGGAAAAGCTTAATGTAAATCCTGCATCATTCTCATTTACCAAACTGTTTTTTGGACAATTGAGATATGATACTGAGAAAATAATGTAACACTTTCTCAAATTTCAAATTTGCAATTTCAACTGCAAATATACCTAAATTGAAATTTTATTACCTGGTTGTTAGATACTATTTCTATAAGTATAAATATTTTTAATTCCCTAAAAATGAAAGGAAGTCCATCCTTATCCTCAAAACCAAACAAATCCAATGCAAACTCAAACAAAACAGTTTACTGTGCATTACAATTACGTGGTATTTAAAACTGATGCATTCTTACCATGTGGAGTGATTGTCTGTACAGGTTTAGTAGGGGACCTTACATTCCATATAGTCAAGGTGCCATCTGAATGACTGCAAATAAATTGTTTTCCTTCATGATGCCAAGCAACAGAGTGGATCGCCTATAGAAGGATGAAAAATACCATTTAAAAAATCTATTTAAATAGCAAACTATTTGCAAATGATCTCATAATCTATTAGTTTTCATTTTCCTAAGGTTAATATATGAAATTTACATTTCCATAATAATTTGGCCCTCTTGAAATACAAATGACATTTTATTTCTTCATATTAAGACTGTTTTAATTCTTTGTACTTACTTCGCTCCTTAAACCAGCATAAAGAAGGCATGATAGTGACATCTACTGACAAGTTCAGTTAAACAAAATGTTTTCTTTTTAGAATAAACAATACCTAAATATAAATTACCAAGTTATTACACCCAATGTCCCAATGGAAAAGTAGTTACGTTGACAAGATTAGAATAAAATGTGTTAATTAACCACAATCCTAAGAGGCAAAATGTAAATTTGGATTTAAGATAAATAAAAATGTTTCAGGTTGAGCTACAAGACATGTTCCCCATCTCTCACAGTAAATACTGAGGCCATTTTTAATCTGAGGGAACCCTCTTTTGATCAGAAATTTATTTTATACTTCTGGGTCACTTAAAAACTAACTGGAAAATATTTTTATATCACCAAAGTATGATATCCCTCATTTTTTGCCCTAGTATTATTTAAATTTTGGTATGTAAAAGAAATTTTATAAATCACTCTCCCATGTGTCCTTTGAATTATTTCTTTTCAACTCAAGTTGATACAATTTTAGTTCTTAACGGTCAACTAACAAGCTACCCTACTGGAATGCAATAAAGAGCGTAGCACAAAAACCATGTAACTGAAACTCAAAACTTCTGTTACATATAAAGCCAACATTTTCTATCACATCATTCATTTTTTGGTTTCTTTCTATACTTACAAATTTAAGCTATTATCAAATATCTTGTTATAAATCAGACGGATACAGATAATCAGCTACACTTCTAAATGCCAATATTTAACACAATTTTTTTATTCGAAGTACAGATGCTCTTCAATTTATGATGAAGTTATACCCTGATAAAACCATAAGTCAAAAATATTGTAAGTCAGAAATGCATTTAATGCTACCAACACAGCAGATGATTCCTTACTTACAATGGTTCAATATAATACTTTTTAGTTTTAAGATGGTACACAAGCAACATACATTCAGTAGAAACCATAATTTCACTCTAATTCCTAAGGAGCTCCTTGACTTAGGAAGGGGTTATGTCTTGATAAATCAAATGTAAAGTAAAAAAAATCATAAGTCAAAATATTGTAAGTCAGGGACCATCTGCATCTCTTACAAAATTCGAAATAAAATCTTAAAATAACAATAAACTGATACATGCATATGACATTTCAAAAGCTCAATTTTAAAATAAGAAATCCCTTAGTAGCCTTTATAGAACATGTGTAATGCTAAAAGCCTATTTAAATGTCTTTTTTTGAATTGATAAGGGAAATACAAGAGGTCTACAATGCTATCCAGAACACAGATAAAAACATCTTAATAGTATCATGCATATATATCATACATAAACATGTATCACATGTAGAGAATTATTTCTACTTTGCTAAAGAAAACAATTTGTATCTTTGTTGAAAAGTGCTTTCTATTTGTAAAATATTATTAATAATTAGGCATTCCAAAAACAAATACTATCTAATTACTGGAACCAGTGGTTCACAATTATTTTGGACAACAGAAACAAATAACAGAAAATACCCCACAAAAAAGCAAAGAAACAACCAAATAGGGACATGCAACAAACACACACTATTTCATTTATTTATTTATTATTTATTTATATTTTACTTTAATTTATGGGGTACACATGGAGATCTTGCAGGATTGTTACATAGGTATACACATGCCATGGTGGTTTGCTGCCTCCATCCCCCCGTCACATACGTTAGGTATTTCTCCTAATGTTATCCCTCCCCAATCTCCCCACCGCCTGCTATCCCTCCCCTAGTCCGCTACTCACCAACAGACCCCAGTGTGTGATGTTCCCCTCCTTGTGTCCATGTGTTCTCATTGTTCAACACCCACTTATGAGTGAGAACATGTGGTGTTTTGTTTTCTGTTCTTGTGTCAGTTTGCTGAGAATGACGGTTTCCAGATTCATCCAAGTCCCTGCAAAGGACATGAACTCATCCTTTTTATGGCTGCATAGTATTCCATGGTGTTTATGTGCCACATTTTCTTTATGAAGTCTATCACTGAGGGGCATTTGGGTTGGTTCCAAGTCTTTGCTATTGTACACTGTGCCACAATAGCTGTATACGTGCATGTGTATTTATAATAGAATGATTTATAATCCTTTCGGTGTATACCCAGTAATTGGATTGCTGGGTCAAATGGTTTTTCTAGTTCTAGATCCTTGAGGAATCACCACACTGTCTTCTACAATGGTTGAACTAATTTACACTCCCACCAACGGCATAAAAGCATTTCTTATTCTCCACATCCTCTAAAGCATCTGTTGTCTCCAGATTTTTTAATGATCGCCATTCTAACTGGCATGAGATGGTATCTCAATGTGGTTTTGATTTGCATTTCTCTAATGACCAGTGATGACGAGCACTTTTTCATGTTTGTTGGCCGCATAAATGTCTTCTTTTGCAAATTGTCTGTTCATATCCTTTGCCCACTTTTTGATGGGGTTGTTTTTTTCTTGTGTAGATTCTGGATATTAGCCCTTTGTCAGATAGGTAGATTGCAAAAAAATACTTTCCCATTCTGTTGGTTGCCAGTCACTCTAATGCTTGTTTCTTTTTGCTGTGCAAAAGCTCCTAGGTTTAATTAGGTCCCATTTGTCTATTTTGGCTTTTGTTGCCATTGCTTTTGGTGTTTTAGTCGTGAAGTCCTTGCATGTGCCTATGTCCTGATTGGTACTGCCAAAATTTCTTCCAGGGTTTTTATGGTGTTAGGTCTTATGGTTACATCTTTAATCCATCTGGAATTAATTTTTGTATAAGATGTAAGAAAGGGGTCCAGTTTCAGCTTTTTAAACATGGCTAGCCAGTTTTTCCAACACCATTTATTAAATAGGGAATCCTTTCCTCACTGCTTGTTGTTAGGTTTGTCAAAGATCAGATAGTTGTAGATGTGTGGCATTACTTCTGAGGCCTCTGTTCTGTCCCATTGGTCTAAATCTCTGTTTTGATTACTGTAGCCTTGTACTATAGTTTGAAGTCAGGTAGTGTGATACCTATAGCTTTGTTCTTTTTGCTTATGATTGTCTTGTCTATGTGGGCTCTTTTTTGGTTCCATATGAAGTTTAAGGTGGTTTTTTCCAGTTCTGTGAAGAAAGTCAATGGTAGCTTGATGGGGATTGTGTTGAATCTTGGGCTGTATGGCCATTTTCATAATACTGATTCTTCCTAACCATAAGCATGGAATGTTTTTCCATCTGTTTGTGTCCTCTCTTATTTCCTTGCACAGTGGTTTGTAGTTCTCCTTGAAGAGGTCCTTCACATCCTTTGTTAGTTGTATTCCTAGATATTTTATTCTCTTTGTAGCAACTGTGAATGATGAGCAACCACTCATGATTTGGCTGTTTGTCTATTATTGCTATATAGGAATGCTTGTGATTTTTGTACATTGATTTTGTATCCTGAGACTTTGCTGAAGTTGCTTATCATCTTGAGATTTTGGCCTGAGATGATGAGGTCTTTTAAATATACAATCATGTCACTTGCAAATAGAGACAATTTGACTTTCTATTTTCTTAACTGAATATCCTTTATTTCTTTTTCTTGCCTGATTGCTCTGGCCAGAACTTCCAATACTATGTTGAATAGGAATGGTGAGAGAGGGTACCTTGTCTAGTGCCAGTTTTCAAAGGGAATGTTTCCAGTTTTTGCCCATTTGGTATATTGGTGGGTTTGTCATAAATAGCTTTTATTATTTTGAGATACGTCCCATTGATACCTAGTTTAAGAGGTTTTTTTTTTTTTTTTTAGCATGAAGGGCTGTTGAATTTTGTCAAAGGCCTTCTCTGTATCTACTGAGATAACCAAGTGGTTTTTGTCTTTGGTTCTGTTTATGTGATGGATTATGTTTATAGACTTGCGTATGTTGAACCAGATTTGCATCCCTGGGATGAAGCCTAATTGATTGTGATGGATAAACTTTTTGATGTGCTGTTGCATTCGGTTTGCCAGTATTTTATTGAAGATTTTGCATTGATGTTCATCATGGATAACAGCCTGAAATTTTCTTTCTTAGTTGTGTCTCTGCCAGGTTTTAGTATCAGGATTATATTGGTTTCATAAAATGAGTTAGGGAGGATTCCCTCCTTTTGTATTGTTGGAATAGTTTCAGAAGGAATGGTACCAGCTCCATTTGTATGTCTGGTAGAATCTGGCTTGAACCTGTCTGGACCTGGACTTTTTTGGTTGGTAGGCTATTAATTGCTGCCTCAATTTCAGATCTTATTACTGGTCTATTCAGGGATTCAACTTCTTCCTGGTTTAGTCTTAGGAGGGTGCAATTGTCCAGGAAGTTACCGATTTCTTCTAGGGTTACTAGTTTATGTGCATAGAGTTGTTTGTAGTTATCTCTGACGGCAGTTTGTATTTCTGTGGAATCATTGGTGATATTCCCTTTATCGTTTTTTATTGTATGTATTTTATTCTTCTCTCTTTTCTTTTTTATTAATCTGGCTAGCGGTCTATTTTGTTGATCTTTACAAAAAACCAGCTCCTGGATTTATTGATTTTTTTGAAGGGTTTTTTGTGTCTCTTATCTCCTTCAGTTCTTCTCTCGTCTTAGTTATTTCCTGTCTTTCAACAGCTTTTGAATTTGTTTGATCTTGCTACTCTAGCTCTTTTAATTGTGACAATAGGGTGTCGATTTCAGATCTTTCCTCGATTCTCATGTGGGTATTTATTGCTATAAATTTCCCTCTAGACACTGCTTTAAATGCATCCCATAGATTCTGGTATGTTGTACCTTCATTCTCATTGGTTTTGAAGAACATCTTTATTTCTGCCTTCATTTCATTATTTATCCAGTAGTCATTCAG